ATCTGATTCCTTTTATGACAACTTCTTTCATTGCACACAAGACATTCTTCTTTGGATAAGTTAACTGTGAATCCTTGATCACATAGTTGGCTTATACTTATCATATTAGCTGTTAACCCTTTTACAAGTAACACATTATCAAGTTTAGGAACTCCTGAATAGTTAAGCTTGCCAACACCTTTGATTTCTCCTTTTGCTCCATCATCAAAAGTCACATAACTAGTGGAATAAGATTTGACATCCACCAACAGATTATTGACACTTGTCATATGTTTAGAACAACCACTGTCAAAGTATCAGTCATCTTTGGTTGATACTCTGAGAGAGGTATGGGCAATGAGACTTCTAACACTGGACTTGGGAACCCACTGTTTCTTATTTTTTCTGTTTTGGGAAATCTTATCATTTTTTGGAGGAGGAGAATTTTTAGGATACCCATACAGCTTGAAACATAATGGCCTTATATGTTCAAGCCTTCCATAATGATGACATTTTCAGGGCTGGGGATTCTCTCTAATGTGATTAAGCTTTTTCTTACCATGATGTCCTTTCTTCACATGGGGTTTCCCACAATGTCCTTTCTTATCATGATGTTTGCCCACATGTTGAGACATCTGATTTAACATATTTGGTTTAGCCTTAGCATGTGTGAAAACATATGCATGCTATTTTCCATGATGTCCATTCTTTATATGATGTCTGCCAGGATGTCCTTTCTTACCATGATGTTGAGACATTTTATTCAACATCTTTGGTTTAGGATTGATATGAGTGGAAACAGATGCAAGCTCTTCTGAGTTAGGTTCCTTTTTCTAATTGAAACCTAAACCACTCTTATCTCCTGTCACTCTTCCTGCTTGGAGAATTTCATCTAATGAGTCAGGCCTATTATTCAGCATCTTGAGAGATTTGACCATTCTATCAAGATTTGAATTTAGAGAGGACACTTCACTTTCCAGATCAGAAATAGTTTTAATATGCTCTTCCCTTTCCTCCTTCATCTGAGTTATAAGGGCTTTCTGTTTCTCCCCTTCAAGACATACTTCTCCACTTATGAGACATAATTCTTTGTATGAAGCAGCTAACTCATCAAAGGTTAGTTCCCCATCACTAGACTCTTCATCAAATACATATTTTCTTTTCAATGCTTTCCCATATTTGGCAGATTCTTCAAGATCACTCTCTGAGTCCTCTTCAGACCAAGTAACAGATAGATTCTTCTTCTGTTTCTTTAGATATGTAGGATATTCGGCTCTAATGTGACCAAAGCCTTCACATTCATGACATTATTTTCCCTTCCCTTGAGAAGATTTTTCTTCATCCCTTTTTCTTCCCACCTCATTTGACTTATAGATGTCAGATGAGATGTTCTTGACATTTGACCTTCGGTTCCTGTCCATTCTTTTTATCACTTTATTAAATTATCTTCCAAGCATGGTTATGGCATTTGATATTCCTCCATCTGTATCCAAATCACAATCCTCTTCTTCATCTTCAATATTAGATACAAAGGCTATGCTTTTGTTTTTCTTCTCAGATCTTTCATTTATGCTCAATTCAAATGTTAGAAGGGATCCAACAAGTTCACCCACTTTCATTTTGTCAATGTCTTGGACTTCTTCTATAGCAGTTACCTTCATATCAAATATCTTGGGAAGAGATCTGAGAATCTTTCTCACCAATTTGTCTTCAGGTATTTTCTCTCCTAAAGCACTGGAGGCATTAGCAATTTTAAGGATGTTCATATGGAAGTCATTTATACTTTCATCATCTTTCATCCTCAAATTCTCAAATTTAGTGGTGAGCAGCTGAAGTCTTGACATCTTAACTTTGGATGTGCCTTCATGAGTAGATTGAAGAATTCCCCATGCATCCTTAGCAACTTCACATGTATTCACCAATCTGAAAATATTCTTGTCAATTCCATTGAATATAGCATTCAAGGCTTTAGAATTTCCAAGAGTAATTTCATCTTCTTCCTTAGACCAATCTTCTTCAGATTTTAATTCAGAAGTAGGTTCTCAATTCTCTCCCAATTCGACTGGGTGTCTCCATCCTCTTAAAACAACTTTCTAGGCCTTGTTGTCTAAGGACTTTAAAAGGGCAACCATACGTGGTTTCCAGTAGTCATAATTGCTTCCATTCAGAATGTATAATCTGTTCATAAATCCTCCTACCTTGTCCATAGTATCAGAAAGTATCTTCCATCGATCTCACCCAGGTAAAGAGCAGGATGTCTGCTCTGATACCAATTGAAATTCTGGTATCAGATATGTGATATCGAAAGAGATGTCACGACACAAATATCCGTTTGCAAGTAAGGTACAGTAAAATCAAAAGTAGTAAAAACACAAGAGATTGTTCATCCAGTTCAGTGTACAACAACACATACTCTGGGGGCTACCAAGCCAGAGACAAATTCATTAAATAATATCAATTCATAGGCCCTCAGTAAATAACCACTTTACGATCTAATCACTTAATCACTACCCAAGCTAAACTTCTACCTAAGACTCACCTAGGTATGAGGCCATCCTCAAATCCCTTTAATCGCTTACATAATTAATAAGTTTGAAACGCTTCAATCATTCAATGCTTAAAAGCTTATGAATGATACACAATTAACAACCAAAATAACAACTCAAGTATTTAAACTAATACTTAGAGTGTATAAAAAGTCTAAACTTCTAATCAGAAAGAAAGTATTCTTCTTTAAAAATTGTTTGTCTTTGAATAAGGAAGCAAGTCCTTATATATGCGCAGATTTGAGCTTGGGCTTGAAAACAAATATTCAAATCTTTTGAATATTCCCATAAAAATAGGCCAAGATATAATTATGCAATTTGAAAAATATTCCTCCATATTTTTCGCAACCTGTAGTTCACAAATCTTGAATTATAGAGTGCTGGAAATCAAGAAACAAAAGACTTAGCTGATTTTAGGTTGGGATCAGTTTAGTCGACAGATGTCAAGACATCTACTTTGACATCATTCAAAACAGTTTTGCTCCAAATGTTAAGACATTTAGCAAAACATTAACAAGTCATTGTTTTACCAAAATTGCTGCCAATAAACACTTACATCCTGTACTAAAAAACAACAATTAAATGCGCTGCTATTACAAAATGAAACATCTAGCCTAGTGGGTAGGCGCCAGAACTATAATGCAAAAGATGTGGGTTTAACACTCAATTCTACTAATTTTTGAGCATTTGACATATTTTCTCATCTTAACCGAAAATTAATATAAAATCAAATACCAATGTGATATTAAAAATAATAATAAATAGAAATAAAAAAGCCACTTGATCATCCATATCAGAAAAAATTTATCACGTCATCTTTTTTAATAATTGAATGTGATAAAGATAAAAAAATAGAGAATCTTCAAATATTAGAAAAAATCATGCAACTTTTTTTTACGAAGATTTTTCAAAAATGAAAAGGAGATATAATAGGTATTAACGCAAACTTTTTTATAGATAATACTAATATAACGTAAGAAAGTCGAAAACTTACAAAATTACTTGTGGGGTTTGCCTTTCACGGTAGGGGTGTTCAGATCCAATCCAATCCAAAAAAGAAATAAAAAACCGAATCAAAAAAACTGAAAGCTGAAAAAAATCGAATTTTTTTAATGTGTTTGGAACACTTAATAGCACAACCGATTGATTCAGATTGATTTTCGATTGACTGTATGAGAACCGAACCGATCCAAACCGAACCAAAGTATTTTTTTCCACTTATTCTTATTTTATCATCATTTATTAAATATAATAAATATGCATTTAAAAAAAATCTAAAAACATTAGAATTCTTCTACCATTCTATAAATATCTTTTTCCAAAATATAATCAATATTAAATATAATAAATGTAATAAATATGAGATTTTATTGGAAAATATGTTTCAGTAGTCAAAATATAATAAATATTAAACATGTTTTTCTTTGAACCTTTGCATATTTTACATTTTGTTGGATATAATCTCATTCTTCTCTAAAATATAATAAATGTCATTTTATTAGAAAACATGTTTCATTAGCCACACGAATCACCGCTAACGTCATTTCATTCCATCTTCTCTCTCGATGAATCTTCAATCTTATTTAAATCGTCCTCTTATTTCAATTCGTCTCTCTCAACCTATCGTCAACATTCTGTATAATTATTTTAATATGTACACTATTTTTAAATGATGCAGATTGTATAATTATTGACTAATTTCCTTTTGTTTGTTAAAACACAATCAAACAAAAAAAATACTTAATTTCTTTTTTTAAGTGTAGTCGATTCTCATTTAAACAAAATTTTAAATGATTTAAAAGTATTTATGCAATTTTTATTTTAAAAACTGAATAAAATCGAACCGAAATAAATCGTATAAATTAGATTCGAATGAATCAAATTTTATTTTTAGTCATCCAAAAACTGAACCAAATCACATAATTATTATATCTTTAGATCAAATGACTTTTTATTTTAAAATCGATCTAAACCAAAGCGCAAAGAATCATATTACACAATGCTTCAAACAAGTCCTCTTTCGTCTTTTTCACCTTCCCACCCAAATTAGTACACCAACACCTTAACACATCGTTTAAAACCAGAGAGAGCGAAATTATTTATATATTATTAAAAAATACAAAAAAATAAAAATAAAAATAAAAATCTCCAAAAACCAAAACCAGAACGAAGAAGAGAGAGAATTAACTCTACAATTCTCTCTCTCCCGATCAGATCGGGCACCTCTGTCTGAAATCCAACATTTTCGATTCCTTCATTGCTTTCAACGTATCAATTTTCAATTTTCATTTTCATTTTGTTTAAAGTAAAATCAAATTGGTTCAATCATCGTTTTCGTTCCCAAATTTTCACCGATCTGGGAAATTCTATTCGAAATTTTGGGTTTGAGGTTGTTCGATTGAAATTCATTGCTACGTGAATGTTGATTCGTGATTTTGAATTTTTAGATTTTGAAATTCTGTTCTAGATCGTTAAATGGCGTCGGCTCAGGTGCTGCCGAACAACTCTGCTTCGTCTCGGAAGCAAGAGCATCTGGAAGCTGGCAAGCGTCGGGTATGTGTGTTTGATTTTGTTCCTTTGAGTTTTGATTCGAGATTTTGATTATATCAGGTTGTTGCAGGTGTAGGATTAGGGGTAGTAATTTTGTGATTGTTTATGTTATGCATTGTTGTGTTTTGTTTGTTGTTATTGTTTTATGAAATTGTTTATATTCTGATAGTAATGTGGGTGGTTTGTTTGAATGAAAGGAGATAGAAAGTGGTGAAAAGCTATATAGCACCGCCACATCTGAAACCGACACAGACATTTGTAATTATGATTAATTTATTCTTTTTTTCAAATTATTACCAGTGTCAACGTGTTAGTTTCGGTATGGTGTTTCTGGTGTATTTGCTTCAATTATGTTATGTGTGTCTGCCTTTGAGGCCTGAGCATATGGAATGAAGATGAAAGTCTATTTCTGTTGTTGGAAGGAACTAGGCCTAGGCCATATAGTTGCTAATTGCATGAGGATAGCTTTTATTTTTTGTTTTCGGTTATCGAGTTTCTGTAACGTTTTTAGGTTGTTCAGTGTTAGAGTAAATGAACTAGAAAGGAGAAAGTTTTGGTGTCTGGATTTTGCCGGCTGTCGCGTTGAGTTTTGAAAAAAAAACTGGTTTCCTAAAGTTAATCCATCCTTATAGTTTATAACTTTTAGCATTATTAATTTGTCATACATGTGAGTTTTGAAGTCTATATTCTATTATTGTTTTTCCTTTTTTTTTTCTTTTCGCATCTTGAATAATTATTTGGGTTTTACAGCTGGAGGAGTTTCGTAAAAAGAAAGCTGCTGAGCGGGTCAAGAAGGCTGCATCCTCTGGCTCTGTGCCCAATTCTGATGCCGGCCAAAATCAGAAGGCTCAAAAAGAGCCTTCGGAAGTTGAAAATGTTCGAATTAATGATTCAGATGAAGTTACCACATCTGATGGCATCGGAGGAGATGTTATTGAGACTGGGACAAGTAACCAGAAAAATGTGAATTTGTTTAACCAAAGTAGTACTCAAGGGTCTTTAGCTGGTGCAACTAGTCTTGTGAGAAATGATCTTAATACATCTTCTACTAGTCTGGTGGAGGAACGTTCAGATATTGATGAAGCTAAAAGATATAATGCTTCTACTTTTATTACATTTAATGATGTTAGTCAAAACAGCAAGGCAATCCACACCGGTGATGTTGCTGGATTTCCGTATGGAGCAACAAACCACCAAAGTAATTTTCTACGCTCGCAAGAAAGTCAAGAGATCGATAGCAGTACTAGTCAGTCTATCCTTCAAGGAATGAATGAAAGCCAGTCAAACAAGAATAACAGTTCTGTGAAGGGTTTTGCAGTTACTGATGTCTCTTCTCCTTACTTTCCGTCAAAAATCATACGTGAGAACTCTGTTGATTCACTACAGAAAACTAAACAGACAAATTCTAGCACCTTCGAGAGTAGCTACTCACATAGTTCGGCTTCTGGAGGTAACATTTTAACTTTCTTTTTTGTGCTTCAATAGTTTCACATTTTCATTCAACCTGACAATGCCTTAGCACTCTCTGCTGATTAAGTTTGCACAATCTATGATGTACTACAGGCTTCAGTGATTCTATCAGTTCTTCTATGTTTAGAGAGACCATTAGATCTGATAGTGATTTGCCTAGTCTTCATGGTGCGACTATACCTAAATATGATTCCACTGGTTATGAAGCAAGGGATTCCTCTAACCACACACCAATACATTCAGTGTCAACAGAATCAAGCTCTAGAAAGCTACGTGCTTCTTTTCTTGATTCTATAAATGTGACTAGACCTTCTACTGGGTCTCCATTTCATCAACCAGAGCAAGATGCCTCTAAGTCTAGTCATTTAGAATCAAGCAGCAACGGCACACCAGAATCTACTTATTTCCGTAAGCCACCTGAAGAGACTAAAACTGGGGGACTTTTCTCAAATCTTAGAAATGCTCCAGTTCTTAATAATAACCAGGACACAATGATGATGAGTGCTAAGGAAAATGGCATGGAAAAAAAACATGATTATTACTCATCTTCACAAAATGAAGACTTTTCTACTTTAGAACAGGTGGTTTCCACTAGTTATGATCAAAGCATTTATTTCTTGATGCTGATTGTATGATGTTTTGGTGCTTCACTTTTTTCCTATTTTATTTCAACGAATGTACTCAATTTATTAGGTGCATTGATATATGGAGCTGTTAAATCAATTGGCCATTGGGGGTATCTATAATCTATTATACATGCTCCCTATTTTTTCATTGAGGATATATGTCATTAATATCTTTTGACTGCATGATTTGCATGCATTGTGAAATGAATGTCAGTAAGTTAGAACTAAGATATGTGCTAACATGATATATGCAACGTGCTAAGCTTTCCTATTCAAAATTAATAGAATGCAAAAATAAACTGTTCATCATATTCGTTTTGTCAGTTCCGAGCAGCAGAATATTGGTATGTGTAACCTCATTATTTAGTGAGAAAAATGCTGCCTTTTTTTTTTCATTGTCAACTATTCAGGGGATTCTCTCTGATATGTGACAGTCAAATTGTTTTGATAATTATTTAGGACAACAATGAGAACCTCTAAATTAGTCGTGTAACTATAAACAATCATAGAAACCAATTTTTTTTCTTTCTTTTCAATTCTCTCCTTTTCTAGAAAACTTTTGGAGTCTTACATTACACTCTTCCTATCTTGTTTGGCCAACAGTTCTTTAACTTAACTTATACCCTTAACCTGCAAAATGAAATCGGAATCTTTTGGTCAGCATTACAAATTTTTAATGTGAGAAAGGTTATTGATGTATTTGTATGTTATTAACATGGGGTGGGAGGGGTAGCTGAACTGGTTTGAACTAGTTGAGCTAATGGTTAAAAACAGTTGGAGGTCCAGGGTTCAAGTCTTGGCAATGATGTAAATATACTAACAAGTAACAGTTAACTACTAACAATTTGTCATTAAGAAAAGTATCTTAGCTTATGTTGGTTTGTATATTTATGTTTGTTTTTCTTTTTGTTTATTATGCAGCATATTGAAGATCTAACACAAGAAAAGTTTTCTTTGCAACGTGCTCTTGAGGCTTCTCAAGTATTAGCTGAGTCACTAGCTACTGAAAATTCATCTCTGACCGACAATTATAACCATCAGGTTGGTTTATGAGTAACAATATGTCATTTTGTAGAATATTCAACTTTGATACTATTTTCTAAGTCCTGTGTTAGTGGGTTTCTAATTTGTGTTAGTTGTAACTTTGGCATTAGTCATGCTCTGATTTCGATTTAAATTGCTACTTTGTGTTTGATTTGGAGTATTATAGTTGTCTATATAGATACAAATCAGTCTCCTGCTTTGTTTATAATGATTTATTCTTTTTTGTTTTCATAGAGAAGTGTCGTCAATCAATTAAAATCAGAAATGGAGAACTTACAGCAAGAGATCAAAGCACAACTGGTTTGTATCAACACTCCCTATCTATTTGCATAACCATTTTATTGTGTTGGTATTCAGTTATACATCCATTCATAATCTAGCTTTACAAAATCATGGTGACACTTATTTACATTTAAAAATTATAATAATAAATGACACACACACACACACACACACACACACATATATATATATATATATATTAGAAAGTAAGTGAATGTTATTAGCCTTATTTATATTTATTATTATTATTATTATGACACAGTACCAGTATTATTATTAGTAATATTAGTATTATCATGACACAATTTTGTAGAATAATATATGATTAATCAAACTAGGTCATGATCTTTTAAGATGGATATAGGGTTGGTAAAGCTCAGTTCAATACATGTATTTAGTCTCATAAAGCTCCATGTAAATCAGGCATCTTGTGAGCCAAGCCTTAAAGGCCTGTTGAACTGAGCTTATTGTTGAGCTCCTTTTTATTCCTATACCAAATCTTTGGTAAATAAAATGTGGCGGTTAGATACATTAGATGGCTGAGTATCTTTTTGTCTGAAATATTTGTATTCTATTTTGGCTATACAGAATTAAATTTATTGTGCATATTTAAAGCCATTTTAGTTGATATCCATGGTTTCTTGAAATGGTACTTTCCCATGGGGATTATTTGTCTTACCACACTTTCTAAGAGAGGTATTAAAACAACAAATTCGTTCAGTTTCACCAAATATCTTATGCACAACCATTTTTCTTTCACCTTGCCTGTCTTTAATAGTTTTTGCGTAGTCCCATTACTTGAATTTTTTAGTGGGTTCCTATTTGCCAACCTTTCCAAATAATTTTCTTCAATGTTTATTATGGCGTTTTTCCTGATACATATAAGATTCTCATGGTGCTCTTTTGGACTTTAAATTTGTAGTGCTTTAAGTAGAACTTATATTCCCTACGGCATTGACCGTTGATAGTTTTTTGTTGGAATTTTTTATTATTTCTGTGCATATCTCCATAGTTGCTTACCACTTTGTCTTCCTTCCTCTGCCTCGGTTATTGGTAGCTATGTGACATTTCACGTCAACAGGTTGAGCTGGAAGCTATCAGGAGTGAGTATACAAATGTGCAACTTGAGTGTAATGCAGCTGATGAGCGTGCCAAGTTATTGGCATCCGAAGTCATTGGCTTAGAGGAGAAGGTAGTGATTTTTCTTGGTATGTTTTGCATTTGTATTTGTTTTTGAAGGCCGTGTGAATTTGTCATCTTCGATTTGAAACCAGTTGTAATCTGTACTTGTTTTGTAGCTGCATATTTTCATCCAGGTGAGGAATTTATCACATGTAATTAACTACTCTAAATAGTTTGAAACGATTGATGTCTACAACGAACGATAAAGATTTCTTCATAGGTATTGAATTAACCAAGTTAAAAGAAAACTCTAACAAACTATAAAATTTTGGGGCTAATTGTCAAAGTTTAAGTTAAAGGTTTACTTGCGAAAGATACAAAGTTTAGTTTGGCTCTGAGCACATCATCCTTCTTTAATCAAAAGTTTAGTAGGTCAATATTAAATTAAATATTTCAGCAGTAATTATGTATCAATAACATTCAAAATATTTAAATTGTACAAATAAATGATCAATAGTTATTAACATCATAGAATAGTATCTCAAATTTTAAATGGTAACTCTTTAACCGAAACCCATGTAGTATATACAAGTTAGACAAACCTATAATATAAAGATAAATTCACAGCAACTTAGATCCTTCATAGAATGTGCTTGCGAAAAAGGTTGATTTTGTAATGTGAGTAAATTTATATGCAACGAGGGTCAACTTTGATTGATTAATTACCTCTTCTTCAGACAAATGCAGTGCCCGTGCTTCAGCCAAAAAACATAAGGGACAGAAATGATAATATTCTTATTCTAATGTAAAAATATCTCTGCATTGGTTCAATAAAAACATCACCATATTCATCCTTGATATAGAGTGATTATGTAATGTCTATCGAGCCAAACACAAATATAAGTGTCACTTTTGTAATGAGCACATGTAGGTTTAATATTGCTAATAAATTTAGGAGATATTAGATATTATTAGATTACAAATTTTGATTATTTGTTGTTCAATAAACTTTTTAGGCCCTCAGACTAAGATCAAATGAGCTAAAGCTTGAGAAGCGGTTGGAAATTGAACAAGCAGAAATTTCTTCATACAGGTATTTTTGTACTTTTAAAAAATGTGCAGCAAAATACTATGTATTAGAGATACATATATATATAGCTTGTTATAGGGCTTAATTTCCTAGTAATTACTTTTTACAGCTGACATAGGGTTTGTTATAACCTAGCCTCATCTCTCCCTTATATATAGGGATCCTTTGTACTGTTAACACTCAAGAAGAAATACAATAACAGAATTTCTTCATCTCTCTCCTTTCTTACAATTCTAACATGGTATCTCGAGCTATTTTCTCGATCTAAGCGCTTCCATGGCATCGCCTTTCAGCACTGAAGGTGCTTTTCCTTCATCTCATGTGAAACTCTCACATCTCATCTCCGTCAAATTAGATGAGAAGACTTTCAAACAGTGGAAACAGCAAATCGAAGGCGTTATTCGTGTTCGTCGTCTTCAACGGTTCGTTACTGTACCGTGCGTTCCACCGCGTCTTCTTCCCGGCGCCGATCCAGTCATCGGCGGTGCAAATCCAGATTATCTTGATTGGGAACAGCAGGATGCACTTATCTGCACCTGGCTACTCTCCACGATTTCCGATTCTCTTCTTCCGAAACTCGTCGACTGCACGTATTCGTGGCAAGTATGGTCGGAAATTCACCGTTACTTCAATACTCTGCTCACCACCAAGGCGCGACAGTTGCGATCTGATCTTCGCAACCTGAAGAAAGGTTCGCGTTCCATTGCTGAGTTCGTGGTTCACGTTCGTGACATCAGCGAAGCGTTGGTGTCAATCCGAGATCCAGTTCCTCTCCGTAATCTCATTGAGGTAGTTCTCGATGCTCTTCCTGAGGATTACGATCCTATTGTTGCTGCGATTAACAGTAAAGACGACCTGTGCTCTCTTGATGAACTTGAGTCTAGTCTCCTTGCGCATGAATCGCGACTTGAGAAGAATCGCAAGGCTGTGATTACTGAACCGGTATCTGTTAATATGGCTCAAGCTGCACCGTCTTCAGTGTCGCACTCGACTGAGCACTCAGGTTCTGATTCCAACTCTGAATTTCCCACTGGTACCAGTCATGTGACTGCTAATGCTGAAAATCATAGCACTAGCTCTCGTGGAGGCAGATATGGCCGTGGTCGTTATGGTCGCGGTGGTGGCTGTTTTGGCAAGGTTTCGTGTCAGATTTGCCACAAACCTGGACATGATGCCTCTGTGTGCTATCATCATTACACTCACTCTGGAGCACCTTTATACTCAGCTCCACGAGCTCCCTTCAATCCCTACACAATGGCTCCACGTCCCTCTTTCCATCCATCCTTTGGATATCCTCCGACTCCGCGGCCAACACCACCCAGGCAGCAGCAACCACAGGCGTTTCTAGCAGGATCTGACCCTAGCTTCAACAATCAGTGGTGGTACCCTGATTCAGGTGCGTCTCACCATGTTACACCTGATGCTTCCTCCTTGTCTAGTGCAGAACAGGTGTTTATGGGAAATGGTCAAGATTTGTTTATAAATTCTGTAGGATCCATGAAATTTCCTTTGTCTAATCATTCCAATTCATCTCTAATCCTAGATAACCTTCTGCTTGTTCCACATATCACCAAGAATCTTATGAGTGTCAGCAAGTTTGCACAAGACAATCATGTTTTCTTTGAATTTCATTCTCAATTTTGCCTTGTAAAATCGCAGGATTCTTCTGAAGTTCTTCTTAGTGGCACTGTTGGAGCTGATGGACTCTACAGATTTGTCAATCCTGCCTCATCTGCCTCGTCTCTGTCCAAGTCTCTTAGCCTTAGTTCTTGTAATAGGCTTAGCTCAAACTCTAATTTCTCTTGTAATACAGCTGCTACTTGCAACTGGTTTCCTTCTTGTAATTCTGCTTCTCATATAAATTAAAATACTCCTAATTCTCACAGTGCATTTAATTCTAATGCTAATGTCTCTTACTCTAATATTCCTAACGTAGATCCTTCCATGATCTGTCATTCTCCTATAGCCACTAGCAAGTATGCTCTATGGCATACAAGACTTGGTCACCCTCATCATTATGTCCTCACAGAAGTTCTTAAGACCTGCAATATTCCTATCCCCCCACAAACCTTCCCTTGATCTATGTTCTGCCTGCTGCCTTGGCAAATCTCACAGGCTCCCCTCATCTCTGTCCAACACAGTCTATCATCACCCTTTTGAACTGGTTGTGTGTGACCTATGGGGTCCTGCACCTATTCTTTCCTCAGGCAGCTACTCCTACTCTCTCACTTGTGTTGATGCACATTCTAGATTTGTCTGGGTGTTTCCCCTTAGGCTGAAATCTGACACTCTCACCCAATTTCTTCACTTCAAATCTATGGTAGAACTTCAGTTTAATTGCAAAATTAAAACTGTTCAGAGCGATGGTGGTGGCGAATTCAAACCCCTCACAAAACACCTTACTGAATTGGGCATCATCCACAGGTTTACTTGCCCCTATACTCACCACTAGAATGGTATAGCTGAGTGTAAACACCATCACATAGTTGAAACGGGTCTAGCATTACTTGCTCATTCCAAAATGCCTCTTAAATATTGGGACCATGCTTTTGTCACTGCAGCCTATCTTATCAATAGGCTGCCTAGTCCTTCCCTCGAAAACAAGTCTCCCTATTTCAAATTGATGCATCAGTCACCAGATTATTATAGTCTCCGTGTGTTTGGGTGTGCTTGCTTCCCCTTTCTTCGTCCATATAATTCACACAAGCTAGCTTTTAGATCTCAGGAGTGTGTGTTTTTAGGTTACTCCACTGTCCATAAAGGATATAAATGTTTGGCAGCAGATGGTAACATCTATATTTCTAAAGATGTGATGTTTCATGAGTCTAGATTTCCCTATTCTAACCTTTTTTCCAACTCCCATATTCCTTCTAATTCCTCCTCCAGCACTTCCTCTAATGCTCCCTCAGCCATGTCCTGGTTTCCCTCCACTACTGTCCATCACATCCCTCCCTTAAATCATGTCAGTCCTGCTGTTACTCCTTCAAACAGTCCATCCTCACCCATTAATTCTGCTGGCTCTTCCTCTAATGGACAGTCTCTGAATGCATCTGCTAACTCTCCAGCTACTACTGCTGCTACTTCCAGTGTTTCCCCTCCTGTATCCTCATCTCAGCCTAGTTCACCCTTACCTAATTCTATCTTTTCAGATCTAGCAGAAGCAAGCACTATCTCTCCCTCTTCCTTACCTCAATCCGATTCTACTGCTAGTTCTGCTTCTATCCCTCCTATTCTCTATCATCAAAATGTTCACTCTATGCAAACTAGAGCTAAGAGTGGTATTTTCAAACCTAGGCTCAATCCTACACTTCTTCTCACTCATATGGAACCCACATCTGTTAAACAAGCCTTGACTATCCCACACTGGTTTCAAGCTATGCAGGATGAGTATCATGCCCTTTTGAAGAATCAGACATGAACATTGGTGTCTCTATCTGATTCTAAAAGGTCCATTGGCTGCAAACGGGTCTTTAGGGTTAAGGAGAACCCTGATGGATCCATTAATAGATACAAGGCAAGACTGGTTGCCAAAGGATTCCATCAACCGGCTGGTAGTGACTTTACTGAGACTTTTTCTCCAGTTGACAAACCTGTAACAGTTAGAACAGTGCTCACACTTGCAGTTACTAATCAATGGTCAATTAAGCAGATTGATGTTAATAATGCTTTTCTCAATGGTGTGCTTGAGGAAGAGAGGTATACATGATTCAGCCTCCTGGGTTTGAAGCAGCTGATAGGTCATTGGTTTGCAAGTTGAATAAAGCACTGTATGGGCTAAAACAGGCCCCCAGGGCCTGGTTTGACAGACTTAAGAGGTCTCTGGTGCAGCATGGGTTCAAAGCAAGTAAATGTGATCCCAGTCTATTCTTTTTCCACACTGACAGTTTAACCATTCTGATTCTGGTTTATGTGGATGATATAATCATCACTGGAAATTCACCATCCTTTATTGCCAGCCTAGTCAAGAGTCTCAATAGTCAGTTTGCTCTCAAGGGCCTAGGGCAACTAGACTACTTTCTTGGGATTGAGGTCACTCATATGCCAAATGGATCTCTTATTCTCTCACAAACCAAGTATGTTACTGATTTACTTGCAAAGGTTAACACGGCTACTGCTAATGGCATGCCTACCCTTATGGTGTCTAGCAGCAAATTGTCTAAATTTGGTTCTGTTACTGTCGCTGATCCTACACAGTACAGATCTATTGTTGGTGCCCTGCAGTATGCTACCTTTAACTTGGCCTGAGCTGTCCTATTCTGTTAACAAAGTGTGTCAGTTCTTGTCAAATCATTTGGAGGAGCATTGGAAAGCAGTTAAGAGAATACTCAGGTATCTCAGTGGCACACTAAATCATGGTTTGTTACTTCAGCCTGCTCCCAAACATCAGCCTTTATCCCCGCTGGGTTTCTGTGATGCTGACTGGGCAGCAGACCCAGATGATAGAAGATCCACATCAGGTGCTTGTGTTTTCCTAGGTCCTAACCTAATTTCCTGGTGGTCTAAGAAGCAGCAGTTGGTAGCAAGGTCCAGTGCTGAGGCAGAGTATAGAAGCATCAACTGGCTGCAGAATTGTTGTGGATTCAATCTCTTCTTCATGAACTTCAATGCAGATTTCAGATTCCTAGAATTCTCTGTGATCATAACAGAACTAAGCACATGGAATTAGACATCTTTTTTTGTGAGAGAGAAGGTTCTAAATAAAAGCTTAACTGTGGCTCGTGTGTCTTCCCAGGATCAGTGGGCAGATGCACTGACAAACCTCTTTCTGCTGTGAAGTTTCTTCCTCTGAGGAACAAACTCAGAGTTGTCAACAAAAGATAGTTACTGGAAGCACCCTCAGCTTCTAAGGGGGACTATTAGAGATACATATATATAGCTTGTTATAGGGCTTAATTTCCTAATAATTACTTTGTACAGCTGGCATAGGGTTTGTTATTACCTAGCCTCATCTCTCCCTTATATATAGGGATCCTTTGTACTGTTAACACTCAAGAAGAAATACAATAACAGAATTTCTTCATCTCTCTCCTTACTTACAATTCTAACACTATGTACGGAAAAATTTAGATTTAGTATTTAAAAAATTGTATTCTATAAATATATTACACCTCATTCCGATAGAATTTGATTTGATGTCATCTCTTCATTTCATTCCATTTGGAAATTCTCCTGACTGAGTTAATCTATGAAGATACTGTGGCATTTTAAAATGACATCTCATTAAATATTACAGAAAGAAAATTTCCAGCCTTGAAAAAGACCGACATGATTTGCAGTCAACCATTGATGCTCTTCAAGAAGGTAATCAGACTTTAACTTTAATTTATAAGAGCAGTTTGGATTCACTCAAATTTTTATGTTTCATCTGATTTTGAAGAGATGGTAGGACTAGGGTTTTACTTCTCTGAAGCAGGAAAAAAGCAGAATTAAGGAGGGATGTTAACTAGATATGGAAATAGAAAATAGAAAAACAGCATCTTTGGATTGCCCAATCTTTCTTCTATATTGTTTTTATGACTTCTCAAATAAGTTCATAGTTTAGGATGCTTTAGTTTGTGAACATGCTTACAGAAGTAACCATCATATATTATGCTTTAATTTTCTGAAATACGATAATCAAAATACTCAACGGGGATTTTATAAAGATGGTGTTTTGCCCATATTGGTCTAGTTGTTTTGGACAAATGGTTACATGATCTGGGACACATTCTAGTAGGTCATTAACCTTTTTATTTTATATGTTTTCACTGTTTCTGTATATTTAGAGAGTCGCAGGCATTTCCTTGTTCTTTTATTTTTTTTTACTGGTAGATATCTTGTAATTTGTTTTGCTCCCTTTATGATGATACAAATATTAGGGACATACTAAATATGTGTGCCAGCCATTTATTGGCTACTAAATTTTATGTGAAATTGAGGCATGCATACACTTTGAAACCATGTTCATTCCTTGTCTTTTGCACTGATGCAGAAAAGAAGATGTTGCTGTCTAAGGTGAGAAAGGTTTCAGGGTTTGGAAAATCTGAGAGTAAATCAAGTAAAAGAGATGGTTCTACATCTACCGACGATTTAGGTGTGTTTCCTAAGTACGGTTATTACTTTGTCTGTTAGGTATTCTTTCACGGGTCATCAACCTGTATTTTCCTTGCATGCTTAAGTCACTCAAGCATGTTTCTGGGGTTCATTTATTCTTAAATGTGAATAAGAGAAGGCAATGTGTATTAGGTTTTGCTGTCTACTAACAAGATGCTTGAATGATTAATTTTTAAAAAAACATGACAGATTCTGGAGACCAAGCATTTGAATATATGCTGCAGTGTACCTAGTTTAGGTTCATTTTGTTTTTTTATATAATATATTATATTTGAGGAGTGTTAGCAACACACGCATTAACTCTTACTGGTTGGAATTAAAATGGGTCCCACTTGTGATCACATCATGTCATCATATGCTAATAAAAAAGAATTTTGGAAGACTATATGTTGTTTTCTTACTAGAAGGATCTTGATATAACTTGTAAGTCATAACTGGCAAACAATACATGATTAAAGTACTCCCAATTATCTGTTCAAAAAAAAAGTACTCCCAATTATTTGGGTATTCCTAGTGGTTTAGTTTTCTAGTTATGTTTATACATCTATGAAATGCAGTGAGTGAAGATCCTGCTTCAATCTCTTCCAACACAGAAATCAATGAAAATGCTGCTATTCGTGATGCTGGAACATCTAGTTTGTCTGCAGTTCCTGAAACTACACACTCTTCTTTTGGGGCATCTTCTGTGAATATTCCTCATGATCAGATGAGAATGATTGAGAATATTAATGCTCTTATTTCTGAGGTAGGATTCACTCTGTTGAAAACTCATTCAGTAATATACAAACACCACCTTGCATTGCTGATTACTGTTTGGAAAATTACTTTTTCCACCAATCCCACTTCTATTTAGTCTTTATCTAATTAGTTTGAAATTGCCATCATATAAGCTTAAATATTCACTTGTATAGCATTTTACTGTAGCTTGCACTAGAGAAAGAAGAATTGATGAAATCCTTGGCATTTGAATCGTCTGAGAGTTCCAGAATGAAGGTAATTCAATTAGAATTCTATTTTGTATGCATGAACGAACACTTATTTTCTTATTCTCTGTAGTATTAATATATAACTTGCTGGTGAGCACACTCTTTAATGTAAGATTAGATCTGGGTTCTTAGTTTCGAATCAGTTCAGAGAGTTTGACGAACAAATTTCAATCCTCCATATTATCTCCCTGCTTTTATCTCTGTCTTTCTGATCCAATCTAATATTGGACACGTTTCTTCGGAATCACTATTTTGGCCCCAATTATAGTTTGACTCCTTTTCTACTTTGTTGCTTTTTTTTGGCTCCATTTTTTGTCCTTGTTGCTCTCTGCTGGAGCAAGTCTGTCTCATTAATTGTTATACTAGTTTTATTTAGGTTTCTGTCTTTGACTGATTTGTTTCAGTTGCGGCTTTGCTCCTGTTTTATCTCGGGGTCATGGTTTGGCATGATTTTGTAGTTGTTCGGTACTAGTTTTGTCTCAGTTGCAGTTTTGCTTAGGTATTATCTCAGCTTTGATTTGCACTGGTTGTCTAAGTTGTGGTTTGACATAATTTTCCTCTCAGTTGTGGTTTGGTATTAGTTTCATCTCAGTTTGTGGTTTGTCACTGGTTTTATATCAGTTAGTTTGAAACTGGTTTCGTCTCAGCTGCTGTTTTCACCCTTTATTTATCCCAACTGTGGTCTGGCCCCAACTTTTTCTGCAGCTGCAATTTGGTCTCAACTCGTCTTAAATGTGATCTTGCGTCCCAGTCAAGCATCAATACCAAATTATAGTATTTTGTTATTTTTACTCTTAATGGGGATTAGAAGATATTAAAATATCTTCATTTTGATAATTATTATCTTGAAGTGTCTTTAGCTTGTATCGGACAATTAGTTATATATTATTTAGGATCTTATACTATCTGTTTAAGATTAGCTTCTATGTTTATTTAACATTATCATGATCTGTTTTCCTATTTAATTAGGATTTGTAGTAGTTGTTATTAGTTAAAATAGGGTCAGTGTTTAGTCTTTTTATATGAAAAACCAAATCATTATATATCAAACAATCAAACAACAATAATTTTTCAGGTTTTTTGTTCATCTCTTCCCTTCAACATAACCTTACAATTGCGGTCCTGGGTTTGTACAGCTCTTGCCGAACAGTTACTTGATCAAGTCATCTATCTGAATTGTTTGTTAATGCTTTCTATTATAATTTATGTGCATCTTATAATCACATATCCTTTATTTATAGTCTCGAGGATCTTTTCTTCTTTCCTAATGACCATAAATTGTCACAATAAACTGTATGGCCAATGATTTTTGAGTGAGTCTACACTCTGTCAGAAAGTTCAAATTAGATTTTTTTTTTGCGCCAGTTTATGTTAAAAATACTGTTTTTTATTTTATTTATTCTGGTTCTGTATTAGCCTAACCACAGTTTCTGCTGTTTCTTTTTCATTATTGAAGGAGATAAACAAAGAGTTGTCCCGGAAGCTTGAGGTCCAGACACAAAGATTAGAGCTTTTGACTGCTCAAAACATGGTTAATGAAAGTATTGAAAATGTTTCTACAAAGCAAACAGATTCTCGGGCAACGTATGAAAACATCCCTTATGCAGATGAGGGCGATGAGGTAACAAACATGTACAGTTTACGTTGGTCAAATGAACTTGTCTGAAAGACAAGCATATCATTTATACATACATACTCATATTGTCAGTAAATCCCAGTTTTGTTTTGTGACTGAAAGCTTCACTGCTTGTAAGCAGTGCAAGTATCTAGGTAAGAATGGAAAACATCCATTTCATTATCAAGGGTGGAAGTAGTTGATCGATGCTGGAAAACTTTAGTAGTGAATAGTAATTGCTAAAAAATACTAGGATAAACAACTTGAATTGAAATAGGAATTGACTCCTTTTCTCGTTTTAGGTGGTGGAAAGAGTGTTGGGATGGATTATGAAGCTATTTCCCGGTGGTCCGTCTAAACGAAGAACTAGCAAGCTTCTTTGATCGGGTTTACATTAACTTTGTAATTGTTGTCATAGAAATGTATACACAGCTATGAGGATGGATTGTGAAGCTGTTTTCCAGTATGCCAACCAAGGTAAAAAAACCAGTGCATTCAATCCCATCCATGACCGAGTTACCTCCTCAGCACTGTGGAGGGCGTGATCTGTGTATATTAGAGTGAATTCTCCTCAGCACTGTGGAGGGCGTGATCTGTGTATATTAAAGTGAATTATTATTAGAGTGAATTATAGAGCAAGTTCTTCCGAAGATATTGGTTTCTTTTGAAAGCTGCTTATTGATTGGCAATTCCTAATGCAATTATTTTGGAAGATGGCAATAAATCTTATGCGGTTGTATCTCTTGATTCAATCCAAATTTTGTGCGATAGTAGTTGGATATGGAAGAGGCTACAAAGAAGCCTCGAGGGAATGGGGACCATTTTGTTCCATTTTGTTCATATACCAGTATGAGATGTGGAATGTTTGTTGGATATATATGCAAGGTGCAAGTGCAAAACATGTTATATTTCCGATGTATTTTAGATTTTTCCATTACTTATGAACACCAGGTTCTCAAGTATAATGAAACTAAAACATACCATTTATTTGAAAGGGAAACCATTGTTTCAGATGTAAGAGAAACCTCTGGTCATGCTGTGAGAGGTTCAGTTAACACATGTCTTGTTAATTTCACAAGAAATAAAGTTAAATGTATAGAACCTGATAGCTTGCAGCTCAAACGACACTAAACTAGATGTTCTATTTTTAATGCAAAGCTGATTGTAGTTTACCTTGTTTTAGCTTGAATAGGCAGCAAAAAGTTGTTAAAATCAAGAGTTTATGAAAATCAGTTTTACCTATATAAAATTGACTTGTAAACGCGACTACTACAAGTTTAACCTACGATAAATATAAATTGACAATATAAAAATGCATGAATAATTTAAATTTTCGTCTCAATTATAAAATATATAATTGACATGAACAAAATCAAGTTAACAAAGAAGAAAATGAATTTAATGTGAAAACTGAGATAAAAAAGAGAGGTAATTTTATTAAAATCTCGTGCAAGGTTACTAGAGTGTATTGATTCACTATGAATTCAGTGGAGTAAAGGCTAAATCTATTTCATTTTATAAGTTTGTTAAAATTCGAGTTTAGAGTTGTCTTAACTAAATTTTTGTATGATTGCACGATTTGGCTCATAATTTCAACAACCTCAATGTCAGTAAACAACTAAACTTCCAAACTTTTCTCAACAAAATTATAAATAACAGTTATTACGAAGAAATCAAATAATGCTAGCAGGGTTCCCAATTCAATTCTGATCAACAAAATTATCAATATCATTCATTGTGCTTTGTTTTCTTCCAATGCAGAACATGACAAATTGTTTAATAGTGCAAGTTTAATAATTATACAATGAGACATAGGTAAAAATGGTTTGAAAGTCTAGAGAGAAAGCATTTCATAAGAAAATAATAAAAACACACATGACAGAAATAAGCAAATTTGAAGTTAACATTAAAATAGCGTTCCCTCTTTTCTTCATTCATTCCTAACCTTCCTAACAAGGTGCACCCTTATCATTTCTATTGCTTTCTCTTGATGCAACACAATTTCACACAAGCAGCTATCACTTTCTTTAATCTTGTACTTGGCCCAAAAATTTTCCCACCCCAGCACAAACACTCGGCCATTTTTCCATGTACGTATTTCTCCTCTCTTTTTGCTATGTTTTGTGGTCATTTCGGGCATCTTCTCATGATAAGATGCTATTTCATTGTTCTCAATATCCTGTCATAACAAAATACAAAGGGTGCACCAAACTTTAATTTCTACTCATCAACACTAATCAATAAAAGTAGACATGAAAAAATCATACCTTGCAGTTGCAACATATAAGGTTGACATGTTTTGTGAAGCAGAGGCAGAAATCCTTAATAACTTTTTTTGGTATATGCTGCAAAACAAAAGAGTCATGCCATATTTAATAGTTGTAAGTAAATGGACTAAATACACAATTATAAACAATTATACCAATTCATTGGGTCTGTAATGATAGTATTTCGCAAAAAAATAGGGATTTCCAGGCTGAATATACATTTCAGCATCAATTTCATCTGTTTCAAGTTTTCGAACCATAGAGTTGCTCCCGATGCCACCTAAATCAAAATAAATCATGAGGTAAAAACATACAGAAATGATCAAATAAAATAGTTTATTTTTTCATGTCAAAGCTTACATGCTTTGCAGGTTCTACAATGTTGATATTTATTTCTACTAACTTCATCATCATCGTCATCATCACTAAAATCATCATCATCATCATCATCATCATCATCAACATCATCATCAACAACATTATAATCCTCGTCATCACTACCATCATCATCATCATCGTCATTCTTTTCCTCTTCATCCATTACCTTCATCTTTTCACACCTAGACGACAGTTCAAGAATTTTAATCTTAAACACATTGTTTTCAATATGTGTGAAAACAATGAAGTCGTTCTGCTCTAAAGAATTTTCATCTTTGAATTGCTTCCAACCATCATCAAAATAAAGCTTGCCGTCAATAGGACGTGCTTTGACTTTCCAATCTCTTCCTCTTTGATCTCTGAAGATATAAATTTTCAATACCTTTTGTTTTGAAATCATCAGCTTCACAAAAGCAACTGGGATAAGCTGCATTAGATTTTAAAAAAAAAAAAACAAAGTTTACATTTGGATACATATGAAAAAGTGAAAGTATGGTGAAGAATAAGAAAATACCATTCTGTCAGAGTGTTTTTCTGGAAGGAAGACTTTGAAGAAATTAGGAAACTCATTGAAGGTGTTAGTCATGATTTGTTTATCTGAAAAATGAAAACATTCAAATTATTCAAACTCTTGAAAAATCAACATCTTTGTTAATAATATTCACTAGATTAAACATATTTTGCATATGAGAACTCAGATCTAAATCATGAGTACTAGATGAAACACAGTTATAATGTCATTCACTCACTTTTCCTATCTATATACTTAGGTTAATAATACATATATAGAATAATAAAAAATGAAAGGTGTGAAACAATGGTGAAAACAGAGAAATAAAAACAGAGAAAAGAGAGAAATACTGAAGCTTAGAAATTTGACCAGCAATGGGACTTTCTTGGCCTTAAAAAAATGAGATTGTCACACAATGAGAGAGAAGTAAAAGGTTACACAATGAAGCAGATGGTATAAAAAAAGTGCATTGTGTCTATTAATTGCATGTTTCCTTGAATGAATAAAATTTTGGTGGAAGTCTATTTAAATTTCTACTTATGACATATTGTCTTTATCATATTTCCTAAATTCTCTAATTATTATAACTCATTCTGAGTTTGGGAGAGACATTATAATAGGTATGATGCATGTGAAATGAAGCATTAATAGTAAGTAGTCCTTGTCATCAAAGAATACTTGTATTGTATTATAAAAAAAGGTAATTTTATTTTTAAAATCTTGTGCAAGGTTACCAGAGTTTACTGGTTCACTATGAATTCAGTGGAGTAAAGTCACTAAACTCCATTTCGTTTTAAAATTTGAGTTTGGAGTTGTATTAACTAGTGCAAGTTTAACTAATACAATGGGAAGGTGGGAATAAAGTCATTAAACTCCATTTCGTTCTACACCATACTTGTTAAATTATAATTCATAGTATCGAAACTATGTGTGTCGAAGGGTTTAGAGGTGGATCGAAATAGGTTGTTCGAAGAAAATCATTGCCCAGTCGAAAAGCTTGTGGATCGAAGCAAGCTGCACACAGATTAAATTTGTTTTAGATTTAGATAGATTTGATTTAAGTCTAAAATAGAATAGATTTGATTTAGTACCAAAATAAGTATTTTGAGCTTTTATAGTTTTGGGCTTAGGGAGCAAACTAAATCTATAAATAGAGGGAGTAATCTCTAGTTTTATAATCAAGACAATCAAGTCAATTAAGTTGTATTCACAGAATTTGCAGTTGCAAGGGAATAACAAAGTTTTCCACAGTTTGTGAACAGAGAGAAACTCTGCAGAAAATAATTGTCTTATTTCTTTCTTTTCTTTTCTCATAATTCATTGTCATTGTTTGGTGATATCAATCTTGTTTATCAAGATTTATAGAAATTCATCATAGCTTTTGGTGGATTTCCAACATCTGGTATCAAGAGCTCGATTTTGATTCAATGGAAGTATCGATCAAGAACGATTGAAGAAGAAAAAGAATTCACGATGACGAATTATGGGAATGCAAATTATCCAGTAACTCTACCAATTCTGAAAGTAGACAACTATGAGAATTGGTGCAAACAGATGAAAGTTTTGTTCAGGTGTCAAGGTCTTTGGGATCTTGTAAAAGATGAATTCGAAGCACTTGGAGAAAACGCTTCAGAAGAAGAAAAGAAGAAACACACAAATTGAGAAGCTGAGTTATAAAGCACTCTTTATAATTCATCAATGTGTGAGTCCAGAAAATTTTGAAAAAGTGAATGATTCAGAATCTGCAAAAGAAGCTTGGGAGGTTCTTGATGTTAGACGATGTGATCGATCTAGAAGGGGGTGTTGAATAGATCGTTTAAAATAATTTGCGTTTTTTAAATTTGTTTTCAGAAAAATATACGAAAACTTCCTGGAATCTCCAATTGTCTAAACAATCATCTATTGAAAAGATTGGATATGCGAAATCGTATGAGATATAATGACAAAATAAGAATCAATGTATTTTACTCAATTAATCAATTACTTATACACTATCAATGATTACTAATTACTACCAATGAGTTGAATGAGATAAGGATAAGCATAATCAATAATTTTGTGGATTAGTCAATTTGTCAAACACCTTGTGAGCAAAGCACCTTAGGTTTGGTTTTACAAAATTGTAGTGGTAAGTTTTCTTAGGTATCAATCAAAAGGAATGTTACCAATGTTTTGAAATGAACTCAACACACTACAATTTCAGTAAGTGCAGATTTGACAAAATAATTTTTGTACAGTTTAGTGATCAAGTATAGAGATGAAGAAAAAGAAGAAGAACACACAATTTGTTAAGGCAGTTCCCCTTGTCGTCCTCACGTAGGGTACGTCTTTCCCCCAATTCTAGAATCTAGAATTGAGATATTTGATATTAAGTTGCAAATGACACAAGAGAAGAGATAGTTCACAATACAAACAAACCAATATTATTGATGTAACAGTCTTCTTCCCTTTCCTTGGTTTGAGCAAAACCGAGTGCCAAATTCTTCGAACAAACCTCCGGTTACCGCAACTTGATTAAGCAAACTCCACCGTTTCTTAATTCTTTCACTCGGCTGGTTTCAATCGCAAGCAATTTGACCCTAAATCTATCTTCACAATCTTCCGATTACCGCTACTTGATTAAGCAAACCCACCGTTTCTTAATCCTTTCACTCGGTTGAATTCAATGAAGCAGAGACTTCTGTAAAAACCCCCGCACCAATAGGAATTTGGAGGAGAAAATCCCAATGATTTTATTCAAGAACAACCCACATTTGCTCAACCTAAATCTGAATTGAATCCTTGATTTGAACGTTATCACCACATCACTTTTCTTGAATCAACAACCATGATTATGTGTAGATGTTGACTTTTGAGAAGAGAGGATGAAGATGATGAGCACTATGTGTATCTTTCACTAGTTCTTGTTAACTTCAAATAATGATGCATAATGAATATATATATATATACACACACACATATATATATATATATGTTACCTAATACCCAAGATTCACAAACATAACAGAAAATCAGTTGAGGCTAGCAAGCGGTCGACTCAACCAGAAGAAGGAGTCGGCGTGACACAACCCGTACCCAGAGAGAAAACTGTTTTGAAGTGTAATGGGTCGACCGCTTCAGAACTTGCGTCGACGCAAACTTTAAATATTCCAATTCTCAGGTTGAGTCAACCGAAAGGGTCGACGCGATACATCCAGCAGTCAGAGAGAATTCTATTTTAAAGAGCAGTACGTCGACCACTTCAGGGCTTGCGTCGACGCAAACTTTGAGTGTTTTGATTTCCAGTTTGAGTCGACCGGAAGGGTCGACCTGACATACCCATGGCTTAATTGAAGATGATGAGTCGACCACACCTATCTTTGAGTCGACGCACATATTGAATTTTCTGAAAAATACTTGTTTCTGGAGATCTTTATTTTAATACTTCCATTGCAAGATTATTCATAGAGCCAACCAAAATAGAGAGAGATTAACAATCATTTTGACATCATTAAAATACTTATAGAGGGACTTTGCCCTCACATACTCCACATTTTTTATGATGTCAAAACAATGCTCAAATATGCTCTCTCTGAGTTTGTGCGTTCCGTTTGCAAGCTATGTATAGTCTTCTATGTTCACTTATCCCCTTTTGACAACATCAAAAAGAGAAATAACACAAGGTCAAAAGTAACAAAATATAGCAAATGCAACATCATTTTCCATTTGCAACTAAAAACACCAACAATCATTCACACAAAATGAAATTAGTGTGGATCATAAAATGCAATAATTAAATAAATGTATGTAGAATATTACAAATCAGTTCATAAGGATAAGTGCATGAGGTAATCAAAATAAATGTAACATAAGAACTTAAACAGAATTACATATATATAAACATGAATCAATTCTCTAGGTTGTCGGTATCATTATTTTCTGGAGCATCAGATGGAAGGTTTGGAAAATGCTGAAGGAAGGTGGAATGAAGGAAAGAAAGGTTCTCAGCTTGTGAATGAAGCATGACTTCCAACGTGGAGTACCGCTGATTTTGAATATTTGAATAGTTTGAGAACATTTTGTTTTGGACTTTGACAAGGTTGTAGATGTTCAAAATCCTCTCATTTTGAAGGAACGCGTCTTCCTTTTGTTGGATCTGCATTCTCTCCAAAAGAGCTATCACATTGGCATTGTTTTCTTGAGGAGCCGGAACGTCATCATCCATATTTGCTTCATTTTCTTCTTCCTCAAAATCTTCTTCTTCTTCATTATCATCCTCTTCACCATCACTATTTTGGAATGAAACTGATGTACTTCTCACAACATAACGGTATTTTTGTTTCTTGTGATCCCATTGGAAGCCCATCAAGGCAAGTGATTTCTTTGTGAATTCAAGATCAGAGGTCATACCAACATAAGGAATTCCTGCAATTTTAATCTTTTCTCGATTGAGAACTCTTTGAATGAAAGAGAGATAGCATAGTGTTGTGCCTCTTCCAGAGTTATGCAGATCAAACATTCGGCTAGCAAAATAGTGTGGCCAATGATCCTTTATTTTATGTTTTAAAACATAAAGAAGTTAAACTTCAGGTTTATCCACACGAGAAAGACCGCCCTTCTTGGGTCGAATGATATGGAAAACGATCCAAAAGAGAATTAGGTCAAATGGGGCTAGGGCACTAGTTGTTACGAATCTTGGAAATAAATCATTGTTTACTATTCTTTCACTGTAGGGTTTCTTTAGCATGGAGTTTAAGGCCGACTTGAATTCATAGTTGGGAGCAAGAACAATATCAGAGATTTTAATAGCATCAGAATCAACTGGCCACATACCAAATAGGTCTTTCCATACATGCGAGCTAACCATATAATATTTGTTATTCATTCTATATTTAAATTCAAAACCCTCAAAATTTCCTTGCATGCCAACATAGAACATTTTGACTAAATCCTCATTATACGGTGTATCACATTCAAGAAATAAGTAGAAGCTCTGAAACCTTAACAATTCAATAATTTCAGGAAGATGCATATGACCCAAGGTTTTCAGATATAAATTCGATTGTATAACTATGTTTCTCTTACCAAAAATGTCT